TGTTTTTTTTTGAGGGGGGGGGAATGTATTGATTTTTTTTGACATTTTTGGACTTTCTGGAATCTCTGGAATTTTTCGGAATTCTGGAATTTCGGGATTTCTGGAATGTCTGGAATGCCTGCGGAATTTCTGGAATTCCTGGGTTTCTGGAATTTCTGGAATTTCTGGATTTCTAAAGGTCTGCCATCTTGTACTAGTAATAACGATACTAGAGGCTTGAGAAATTCAAAAAATTCTACAAATTCCAAAAATTCCAGAAATTCCACAAATTACAGAAATTCTCTGGAATTCCAGAAATTTCAGAAATTCTAAAAATTTCTGGGATTTCTGGAATGTCTGAAATTTCGGAATTGCCGAAATTCTGGAATGTCTGGAATTTCTGGAATTTCTTGGCTTTCTGGGATGTCTAGAATTTATAAAATTTCTGTGAGTTTTGGAATATCTGGAATTTCTTAAATTGTGTGGATTTGTAGATTTGATTGGATTTTTGAAATGTCTGGAATCTTGGAAAGTTCTGGAATTTCTGGGATTCCTGGGTTTCTGGATTTGTGGATTTTTTGGAATTTCTGGATTTTTTTGATTCCTGGAGTTCCTTTGGAATTTCTGGAATTTCTGGACTTTCTGGAATTTCTGGACTTTCTGGAATTCCTGCGGAATTTCTGGGATTCCTGTGTTTCTGGAATTTCTGGAATTTCTGGAATTTCTGGATTTCTAAAGGTCTGCCATCTTGTACTAGTAATAACGATACTAGAGGCTTGAGGAATTCCAAAAATTCCAAAAATTCTACAAGTTCCAAACATTCCAGAAATTCAATAAATTACAGAAATTCTCTGGAATTCCAGAAAATCCAGAAATTCCAAAACATTCTGGGATTTCTGGAATGTCTGAAATTTCGGAACTGCCGAAAGTCTGGAATGTCTGGAATTCCTGGAATGTCTGGGCTTTCTGGGATGTCTGGAATTTATAGAATTTCTGTGATTTTTGGAATATCTGGAGTTTCTTAAATTGTGTCGATTTGTAGATTTTATGGAATGTTTGAAATGTCTGGAATCTTGGGATTTTCTGGAATGTCTGGAATTCCTGGGTTTTTGGAATTGTGGAATTTTTGGAATTTCTGGAAGTTTGGATTTCTGGAATTTCTGGAATTTCTGGAATTCCTGTGGAATTTCTGGAATTTCTGGATTTTCTGGAATTTTTGGATTTTTTTGGAATTTCTGGGATTTCTGGAGTTTCTGGAATTTTTTGAATTCTGGGAATTTCTAGAATTTGTGGAATTGCTGGAATTTCTGGGTTTCTGGATTTCTGGAATATCTGGAATTTCTGGTTATTCTGAATTTATGGAATTTTTTAGATGTCTGGAATTTCTGGAATTTCTGGAATTTTTCGAATTTCTGGAATTTCTGGATTTCTGGAATTTCTTGAATTTGTGGAATTCCTGTGGAATTTCTGGAATTCCTGGGTTTCTGGAATTTCTGGAATTTCTGGATTTCTGAAGGTCGGCCATCTTGTACTAGTCAGAAGGATACCAGGGGTTTGATAAATTCCAGAAATTCCAGAAATTCCAGAAATTCCAGAAACCCAGGAATTCCAAAAATTCCTCAGGAATTCCAGAAATTCCAAAAATTCCAGAAATCCAAAAATTCCAAAAATACCTCAGGATAGCGGCGCCGGCCGTGACCTGCAATGTATCTTATATATATATATGATATCTATATATATATAATATATATCTATATAATATGTGTGGGTATATAAACATATACATACAAGGGGAACCTCAGGGGGTCGGTACCTCTGGGATAATGTAAATTCATTTTTAGGATGGACATGTGGTCAGAATCATATATGATTTACATACCCGCAAGCGGGACCGATAACTCCGGGGGGGGAGGGGGGTAGAGTCTGTTCTCTTTTTAGTACAGGAGAGACTCTACGTGGTGCAATTCGCCCTGCCGAACTTGAAATTGCCAAGTCCACTGCTCGCGCAATCATCCCGCCCGCCCGCCCGCAACTGGGTCTGCCAAATCCATGCGGCGGCGATCGCGAGGAGTGCTCGGCGCTGGCTGGCGCATCGCCGCGGCCGCGCTGGCGCGCACGCGCGCGCGCGAAGCTGCCAACTAGACTGGCATGACCGACGCGGCCGCCGTGGCGCTGATCGCTGGGCCCGGCCGTGCACCCTCTTGTCAGGGGAACGTAAGACCTGGGTGCAGGGGACTCGGAAATCCCCGACGAGGTCGTCAAAAAAATGACGAGGCCGAGCCTGCATTTTGACGAGGCCTCCCGCTGCAGACATCCCACGAAACTCCTCCTCGTCAAAATCCGAGGCGCGGTCGTCAAAAAACGATGGCGAACCCGAGTCCTGGCAAACCCGGGTCTTACGCTCCCCCGATCTTGCCGCGGAGGGCGCGGGCTGCGGCTCGATGAGCTCGTGCGGCTCTGGACGAGCATCGGGCGAGCGAGGGGCCCCGGCCTGGCACGTCTGGGGGGCTGCCCCTCCCCCTCGCCCCGCTCGGGGCCTGCTGGAACGTTCCTTCTGGTGCCGGCCCCCCGCGGGGTGCGGGGGCTCCCCGGGGGGGGGTCCCGGGCGGCCCCCGGGGGCTCTCCTGATGGGGGGGGGGCTCCGACCTCCGAAAGCAGCCAAGAGGGGACATCGAGCCCCCGCCCCTCGGTGTCGCGGGGCCCTCTTGGCACATCAAGGGGGTGGTGGGAGGGGGCCAGTGTCTCATGTTCGGGCTTTTGGGGGGTCGGCCGCGGCCCTCTCGTCTGGGGCTCTCCCGGGGCCCTCTTGGGCCGTCCTAGGGGGCCGGCGGAGGCGTTTTGTTTGAACCCCCAGCCCCTTGTGCTTGGCCTGGCTTGCTAAGGGTAATTACCTGCGGAGCAGGTAGGCGAGTTTTGCCTTGCGGAACTCGTTCGTATAGGACCGAGAGGACTTAGAGGAGGAGAAGGAGGAGGAAGAGGAGGAGGAGGATGAGGAGGAGGAGGAGAAGGAAGGATGAGGATGAGGATAAGGATGAGGAGGAGTCAGAGTCAGAGTCAGAGTCATAATCAGAGTCGGAGTCGAGGAGACGAGGAGTCGAGGAGTCGAGGAGTCGACGAGGAGGAGAAGGAGGAGGAGGAGGAGGAGGAGGAGGAGGAGGAGGAGGAGGAGGAGGAGGGAGGGCGAGGAATGTCTGGGTTCAGGACGAGGAAGGCTCACTCACACACTGCCGCTTGGGCTGCCCCTGCACCCGCGCCTGTCGGCTGGCCAGAGGGGCACGAGGCCTGTGTCCTCCCCCTGGCCCCGCCCCTCCTCTCAACTGCGGGCGTCCCGCCCTCTCCTCCCCTCCCCTCCAATACAGTCGGGGCGTTGACCTAAGGAACCCCAAATAAGGAACGAGGCCTCTTTTTCCCATAAGTTAAACTTCGATTCCCCGATCGAATACCCAAGGACAACCTAAGGCAACCTGCGAAACAATTAAGGAACACGGAGCCCCTCCCCAACGAAAAGGGTTCCTTGTTCAGCGCCCCGACTGTATCCTCCTCTCCCCTCCCCCCGCATTTTCCACTCTTCCCGTTCCGTTTCTTATCTTCTGTGCACGTCAACCTGGGCTCCGGCTTGAGCTGCGGGTGCATCGCGAAGCGCTTTCGGTTTTCCTCCCGCATGGGTGCCTCTCGCCTTCTCCCCGCATGTTCACGCTCCCCCCTCCCCTCGCCCCTCCCCTCGAATACCCCTTCCCGGCTCCCGCGAGCTCCCCTTTCCCTCCCTCCCATCCACTTCTTCAAGGCGGTGGCCGGGCAGAAAAAGGCGCGCGGGCGCTTGCGCCCGTGTGGCCAAAATCAGAGAGGGACGCGCAACGGCACCCCTCGTGGTGAGAGGGGCGCCTTCCCTGGCGCTGAGAGAGAGGGGGGAAGTCGATGATGACGGCATCGGTCGTGAATCATCAGAAGTAGGTGCAAGCAACCCGCATAGCGAGCGCCCCTACAGCCCAAGCAGGCCATTTTAGCAAGCGTACCTGAAGAAGAAGAAGCCGAAAGGGATAGGGCTGCTGAGTAAATGCGTAAGTTAATTTAGTAAACGCCACGTATGGGGGCCAGGGTGGCCACTTCATCCCCTGAGTGAGACACATCGAGAAGCTGACCGAAAGAGGGCAGCTCAGTCTCTTGCCCGACAATCCGTCCCACGACCACGGGCGCACAACTAGAACGGGAATGGTGACATGATCGGGTTGGCTCAGGATCCGTCCTGGGATTTCCATCGGGCATCTGGCGGCCCTCGTTTCTGGAGCTCGTGCGGGGAAGTAAAGCATCGGGGACATCTGGAACGCCCGAATCTCTGGGAAATTGTCGTCATCACGCCTCCTTGCTCCTCTGAGCATGGAGCGGTGGCGAGCATCGAGCGCGCGCAGGCGGCGACGTCCTCCACGCACCAAGCTCCAGCCATCCACAGGCGCCATAGGCGACGAGCGTCCCTCCCTCCTCCCCCCAAGCTTCTCGCGCGGGCTCCCGCGATTGATGACGATGACGATGACGATGATGATGATGATGATGATGATGATGATGATGATGATGATGATGATGATGATGATGATGATGATGACGATGACGATGACGATGACGATAATGATGATGATGACGATGATGATGATGATGATGATGGTGATGATGACGATGATGATGAGGATGATGATGAGGAGGAGGAGGAGGAGAATAATGGTGAGGAGGAGGATTATGATGATGATGAGGAGGAGGAGGAGAATGGTGAGGAGGAGGAGGAGGAGGAGGAAGAGGAGGAGGAGGAGGAGGATGAGAAGGAAGTGGGGGCAACATGGGGCGGAAAGAGGAACTGCGGTCCCTTCTCCCGAGACTGCTGTGTCGTGTCTGAGACGCCACGGGTGGGTGGGCGCTTGAGCAATCCATGGGCTACAAGGGACGCAAGCCTCGACGTGAGCGGAATTTGATGGGACGAGGCGAAGCTCCAGCACAAGGAGGAATGGGAACGCACAGACGGGGAAGAAAATCATGAAGATGAGGAGGGCGGATGAGCCGTAGGGATTTGGTACGCGAGCTGCCTGCCATTCACGATTGGTCGGGCGTCAATGGCGCCCGACCAATCGTGGTCGTGACGCCGCGTCGCGAACACGTTGACATGTCTGACAAGAAAGAGCCAGCACATCGGGGAGCGGAGGCGCGACTTACTAAAATCAGCTGCGCTTGAACGAACTAATCTACAGTATGCACAAAAAAAGGCCCAGCCAGTAGGTGCCGACGACTGTCTTAAAATTTGGAGGCTCCACCTGCTCTGTGCGTGGTTCTGCAAATCTCCAGCAACATATCGACGGATAGACTGCACATCCAGTCGAGACCAAAATGTGAGCAAGGACATGGGGAGTCGAGTAATCACGACGGGCCTGGCTGAGGCGGATCGTCATGCAAAAGGACGAGGCCAAGCAACCCGATCGCGGTCACACGGGGAACGGCGGCGAATGGGCACGGGACGCGACGCTGGCCTGGCGAGCATCCTCGACGTCCGACGCGATCCTCTCCAGAGAGCCAGCATCCGCAGAGCTCCCTGGAGCAGGCCGAAGCGACGATCAAAAAGGGACAAGGGCGAGAGAAAAGGAACGCTAGGACCCCTCCCCTGGGACCGGTCTTGCATCCCAAACAAGTTTTTGACGCCCCCCAGAGGCCCGGCAGGGGCACGCGGAGGCAGAAAAAACAGCGAAACACCGCACGTCGTGTTTTTTGTTCACAGCGCGATGGGGGTCTGGGGAGGAAGAGCATCGAGGAGGATAAAACAGGGCTAGGATCGGGATAAATCGCTCCAGAGCGTTCCGGAGCGCTCTCAGAGCGTTCCGGAACGCTCTGGAGCGGCCGCGGCGCCCAATACATCCTCCAAACCCGCCGATTCTCAGAGATTTCGAGTTATCCCGATCTGATTTTGTCCCGATCTTCGCGTCGTTTTAGAGGAACGAGGATCGAGGAGGAGCATCGAGGACGTCGAGCTGGAGGCGGCGATGCGCTGCCGATCCGAGCGGCGCCGGGCCGCCGTGGCAGCGGCAGCTCCGGGGCGGGGCGGGCCCTCGGGCCCCCGTCGGCGATCAGGGGGCGCCCGGGGGGGGTCGATGCGCCCCCCTCCCTGAGCCGATCCCCCCTTCTTCCCCCCGATTCCCGAGGTTTTTTTTTTTTTTTTTTTTTTTTTTTTTTTTGTTTTTTTTTGTTGTTGTTGTTGTTTGTTTTTCTGTTTGTTATATATAGTAGTTTTTTGTTTTTTTGTTTCCTGTTTTTCCCGTTTTCGTTCGTGTCCCCCCCTTTTTCTCTCCACGTCGTCTCCCAGATGCCTCGGCCCATGATCCCGGGGCTGGCTTGTCGTCCCGAGGATCGGCTTTTGGAGATCCCTGGGCCTGGCGAAGGCCCCCCTATGTGAGGCAGAAAGTAGCAACACGCACCCCGCCTCCTGCTCCGACCCCCCCCTACCCGCCAATCTAGGCAAACGCATTCCGCTACTCGCAAAGTCACTACTCGCAAATGGCCTGGATCCGCCGTGGGGATTTACGACAGACTGCATCGAGGCGAACGTGAGTTTTCGGACGTTTGCGAGCAGGCACTTTGCGAGTAGTGGAACGCGCTCGGCGACAATCGGAAGAACTGGGTGGAAACATGAAGTAGGAAGGCGGCCAACGTATATTGGACTCGGGCCCGCCCGGAGAATTACAAGGCGTAGCAAACACATATCGACTCTGGAAGTAGGAAGACTCCTGAAGTAGACTGCGAGCTGGGAGCCCAGAGATGTCTGCAGCTGGACCCAGGACATAATACCATCCCTCACGGACATGAGACCCTCCGCCGGCCAAACTGACGAACCTTCGAGGGCACCCTCCCTCAGGATGCGCAACCACATGCAGCAAGCACGACAAACATTAGGGTACCCTCCCCGAGCCGACCTCGATCTTAGACCTCGGCCCTGAAGCACCTTCGACGACCCGCGCGCAACTTTGCCCCCGAGGAGGAGGAGGAGGAGGAGGAGGAGGAGGAGGAGGAGGAGGAGGAGGAGGAGGAGGTCTTGCAGGCACGGTGGGGCTTCTCTGGAAGCCTCCCCGCGGGCGGCCCCCCCGAAGGCTGCCCTCCACCCCCCCCGTCCCCTGGGACCGCCTGGCCACGGGGCCAGTCAGGGCCTGGCCCTGTGGCAGCGTGGGGATTCCTCCCGATGTGCGGCTGGAGTGTTTCTTGTTTTGGGGGGGGCGGTTGTAGGGAGGAGTAGAAGGGGAATCGGATGGGGAATCGGAGGAGGAGGAGGAGGAGGAGGAGAAGGAAGAGGAGGAGGAGGAGGAGGAGGAGGAGGAGGAGGAGGAGGAGGAGCAAGAGGAGGAGGCGGAGGAGGAGGAGCAAGAGGAGGAGGCGGAGGAGGCGGAGGAGGAGGAGGCGGAGGCGGAGGAGGAGGAGGCGGATGCAGAGGCGGAGGCCGAGGATGAGGAGGAGGAGGAGGAGGAGGAGGAGGAGGAGGAGGCCTTGGCGACGGCCCCCCGCACGCTCCCCCCAACCACAACCACGATCACCCCCTCCCTGACCCCCTCTGACCCCGTCTGATCGAGCTGGGCGAAAGGGGGGATAGCCAAGGGGGGGGATTGAGAATCAACTCGCGTAGCTGATTGGCGCCGGGAGGCGCCCCCACTTTCCCTATCCCCCCCTTTCGTTTGGCCCGATCTGATCCCCCCTCCAAGCTCGCCATCGCTCGGACGTCCATTCCTCGTGCATTTTTCGGTTTCGTGCGTGAAGTTGTCGCTGGATGACGCAGGATGCTCCTCGCTTGTCCCGGTCGAAGAAAACGAACACGTCCGAGCGATGTCGAGCACGTGGTGGTGGTGGTGGCGACCCTCTTTCCTCCACACAAGTTTGCTTTCTGGCCGTGGCTCGGGCCCCAAGCGGGCCTCTCGGGATGACTCCGGGCTCCCCCCCCCAGAAAGGCATTCGACGAGGCACAGCTGCTGGAAAGCACCATGGAGCCCGACAACCTCCAGGAAACTCACAGAACAAGTCGAAAGAAATCAGAATTTGTCGCAAGGAGGGATGGTGCAAGATCAATCAGCTCGGAATTTGACAGTGCGTCGGATCGGGCTGGCACGGCACGTAGTCGAAACCAAATCGAATACAAACATCGGGCCGCATCGTATCGTCAGAATACGGGACTCGAATCGGATCGAGCCGATCGAAACTGGTGTCGATCGCATCGAAATGGGACCTAGAAGGCGGTTCGGTGCGATGCCACTGAGTGGGAAGCTGGAACTGAGCGGCTCCTTTGTACAATCCAGGCAGTCCGCCACAGGCGGCACCGAGCCTGCTGCCTGGAGGCGTTCCCCGCTCCCTGGGGATGAGCACCAGGCTCCATCTTGCCCCCATCGCCGTGCCAATCACCCTCCTGCAAGTCGTCGTCGTCGTCCTCCTCCTCCTACTCCTCCTTCTCCTCCTCCTCCTCCTGCTCCTCCTTCTCAACCTCGTTCTCCTCCTCAACCTCGACCTCGACCTCGACCTCGACCTCGACCTCGACCTCGACCTCGATCTCGACCTCGATCTCGATCCCGACCTCGTCCTCCTCCTCCTCCTCCTCCGCCTCCTCCTCCTCCTCCTCCTCCTCCTCATGCCTCCTCCTCCTCCTCCTCTTCCTCCCCCGCAATTCTCCCTCCCCTCCACTCCTCAGCCTCGCTCTCCTCCTCCCCTCTCCTCCTCCTCCTCCTCTCCTCCTCCCTCCTCCTCCTCCTCCTCCTCCTCCTCCTCCTCCTCCTCCTCCCTCTCCTCCTCGTCTCGGACATTCTCCCCCCCTCCCTCCCCCCTCTTCCGTCCTCCGCCGCGGCTCCTTCCCTAGAGAGTAAGCAGGGGGTGGGGGCCGTGGGTTTTCGGTGGTTCCCCTCCTCCCTTCGCTCCCTCCTCCATTCTTTCTCCTTATAAAAAAAAAACTTCTCCCCGTCGCACCCCGAGGCTAGTTTTTAGGGCGGGCCGGGCGTTTCGCCTGAGACTTCCTCACCTTTCATGACGCCGAAGCTTAAACATTGGCAGCAGTTTCACAGATAGAGGGCGGGGAGTGGTTTTCAAAATGTGGCTCTCGCCTTACCGTCGCGCGCATTCGTTACAAACAATTAGCTTCGCGGATTGAGGGCAGGTGGTTTTCAAACTGTGGCTCTCGCCTTAGCGCCGCGCGCTTTCGTTACATATGCACGCTTTTTGGGCAGGCGCTCCCTCGCCAATGGTCACTATGCTCAGACGCCCCTCTAACCCCCAGTAACGTTTCCGAGGACAGGCACCGCGGCCCCAGGGACGCTGCGCCTCGTCCGAACGCATTCGGCCCGAATCGGGGGACCCCCAGCCGACCACGTCGGCAGGCCCCCAAGGGCGGCCCCTGACCGCAAGCCGCCCTCTCACGAAACGCTGGGGGGGGACGCCGAGTGCACCCCCTGAGCTTAGGCACCAGAGTGGGGTAACACAAGAGCAAGCTACACAGGGTGGCTAGTAGGAGGGAGCCTCAAGAGGCTACGTGTAGCAGGACAGCGATAAGCGCACCCACCCCCCTCGTATGAACATACACATGCGTGTATACGGCCATATATATACACATGTTTAACTTTTAACATTTGTAAGACTTTCACGAATTGAGGGCGAGTTGTTTTCAACATGTGGCTCTCGCCTTAGCGCCGCGCTCATTCGTTTCAACAACTTGCAAGAGCTTCATGTATTGAGGGCGAATGGCTTTCAACATGTGGATCCCGCCTTAGCGCCGCGCACATTCGCTTCAAAACTTTTGCAAGAGTTTCACGGATTGAAGACGAGTGATTTTCAAAATGTGGCTCTCGCTTCAGCGCCGCGCACATTCATCTTAAAACAAATGCAGGAGTTTCACGGATTGAGGGCGAATGGTGTTCAAAATGTGGCTCTCGCCTTAGCGCCGCGCACATTATCTTCTGTTGCAAGAGTCTCACGAAATCCCAGGATCAACGTACCAGAACTGGTGTTTTGGACGGGTTCAAGCTAATGAGGGTGCACAAGTTATGTTGATTCGCGGTGCCAAATCAGGAAAGACGTTCTGGCACGATTCAGGATCGTCAAGACGCAACAGTCAGGTTGATCCGTGGCGTTGGAATCCCGAGAACAATGTCTTGGCATGCTTCGGGGTCTTCAAACAATTGTCTTCCAACGATGCAGTTCCCTCAGTAATGATGAACCGTTGTAGGGGCCTATGAGGAGAAAAGCTTGGAATGAGGGTTTATTCCAAGATCGTTGATGATTCTTGGGCTTACACTGGTCCCCCTCCTCATCCTCCTCCTCCTCCTCCCCCTCCTCCCTGCCTTCCTCGTTCCTCTTTGCTCGCTCTTCCTCCCATCCTCCATGCCGCCTCCCCCCTCCGAGAGCGTAAACGTTGGCACAAAGAGGCTAAGAGGCAAGATGATGTTCCGGAGGGAGGGGGGGAGGAGGGGGAGGAGGAGGAGGAGGGCAACGAGGTAGGAGGTGTGAAGTGGGAGGAGGAGGAGGAGGAGGAGGAGGAGGAGGAGGAGGAGGAGGAGGAGGAGGAGGAGGAAGGAGGAGAGGAGGAGGAGGAGGAGGAGGAGGAGGGAGAAGAGAGACGAGGAGGAGGAGGAGGGCGACAAGGTAGGAGGTATCAAGGGGGAGGAGGAGGAGGAGGAGGAGGAGGAGGAGGCGGAGGAGGAGAAGGAGGAGGAGGAAGAGGAGAAGGAGGAAGAGGAGGTTGGAGGAACGGAAGGCTGGACGAGGAGAAGAAGGAGGAGGCAGTGAAGCAGGAGGAAGAGGAGGTTGGATGACGTTGAGGGAGGAGGACCTGTCAGTCAGGAGTTGGGGTGGGGGACAAGAAGGGCCTGCCCTGCCCCAACAAGAGTGCATCGTGTCGACAGATGGGGGCGTGGGAACCTTCTTCCCGACACCACCTGCCAACCTCTCTCTCGCGAGGATCTCGCTGGGCGGGGCCGGCACGATAGCGGGGCAGGAAGCGGGGAACCAGAACGATGAGGACGAGGAGGAAGAGGAGCAGCAGCAGCAGCAAGAGCAGCATCAGGGGAAGCAGCAGCAGCAGCAGCAAGAGCAGCAAGAGCGGCAATGAAGTAAGAGGTATGAAGGGGGAGGAGGAGGAGGAGGAGGAGGAGGAGGAGGAGGAGGAGGAGAAGGACCAGTGTAAACCCAAGAATCATCAGAGATGTTGGAATAAACCCTCCCTCCAAGCCCCCTCTTCGTAGGCCCCTACACCGGTTCATTTCCATTGAAAGAACTGTCTCTTCGGAAGACAACCGTTTGAAGACCTGGAAACATGTCAAAACATTGTTCTGCGGATTCCAACGCCACGGATCAACCTGATTGTTGCGTCTTGACGATCCTGAATCGTACCAAAACGCCGTTCTTGGGACTTCAACACCGCGAATCAACCGAACTGTTGCACCGCGAAATCATGAATCCTTCCAAAACATCATGTCTGGTATGCTGATCAGGGGAACCTCTGAAATTCTTGCAAGTTTAAAATCACATGTGCTAAAGCGAGAGCCACATTTCGAAAAGGAATCGCCCTCAATCCGTGAAACTCTTGCAAATCTTGAAAACGAATGTGCTCGGCGCTAGGGCGAGAGCCACATTTTGAAATCGGTCCGCCCTCCATCTGTGAAGCTCTTGCACATTTTTGAAGCGAATGTGCGCGGCGTTAAGGCGGGATCCACATCTTGAAAACCGCCCGCCCTCAATCCGTGAAGCTCTTGCAAATTGTTAAGACGAATGTGCGCGGCGCTGAGGCGAGAGCCACATTTTGAAAACGACCCGCCCTCCATCTGCGAAGCTGCTGTAAATTTTTAAGCTTCAGAGTCATCAGTGGTGAGGAAGTCTCAGGCGAAACGCCCAGCACGCCCTAAAAACTGGAATTGGGGTGCGACAGGGAGAAATTATTTATTTGGAGAAGGAACGGAGGAGGAGGAGGAGGAGGAGGAGGAGGAGGAGGAGGAGGAGGAGGAGGAGGAGGAGGAGCAGGAGGAGGAGGACGAGGAGGAGGAGGAGGCGGAGGAGGATAAGATGGGGGTCGAGATGGGGGTCAAGATGGGCCCGGGGATATGCTAGAGAGAAGCGAACCTACTGCGCGCTCCAGGGGACTGCGGCCCAGCGGCAGCGCGTCCAGACACCTCGGGTCGTGACGGCCCCGGGCCCCGCGCTGCTCCCACGCCTGCTGCCGCTCGGCATCCCGCTCGACTGGATCCTCGTCCTGCTACTGCTCGAGTTCCTCCGCGTCCCCTGGCTGCTGATCCTTCCCCTGCTGCTGCTGTTGCTGCTGCTGTTGCTGTTGCTCTTGCTGCTGCTGCTGCTGCTCCTCTCCAGCTCCTCCTCCTTATCCTCCTCCTCCTCCTCCTCCTCCTCCTCCTCCTCCTCCTCTACAGTTGAGCCCAATGAAAATATACATGTTATTCTCCCTCCTTTTTTGAAATTGTCTGGAAGATCTCCCGCTTTTCGCGTATTGTCTTTACGCACAGGATGTCAAACATTGTTGTTCTTATGTGTTTTGCAATCCGACTGCTTTCGGTGTTTCAAAACGGCGCTCCCGCTGCAACGTGGGCCTCACTTTCGGATCGGCGCTGTGCTCCCGTTGTCCAGAATGGCTTTCTCGCCCCAGCGCGACCCACTGTTCTAGATTCGAGCTTTGCTTCATTGTGGTCCCCCCCTCATTTCTCCTCCTTCGCCTTGCCCTGGTCCTCCTGTTTCCCCCGCTCCTTCCACTCCAGATCCTGTTCATTCTGTCCGTCTCGTCCCAGCGCGGGCCACTTTTCTGAATCCGAATCTTTCTTCTTCGTCGTTGCCCCCCCTTGTTTCCCCTCCTCCGCCTTTCCCTGGTCCTCCTTTTACTTCGTCTCCTTCTGCTCTAGTTCCTGCTGCTGATGTTTTTCCTCACCCTTTTCCTCCCGCTCATCCTCCTGCTCCCGCCACCCTTTCCTCCTGTGCACGCACCTCCCTCCTTTACGATTGCGCATGCCACGAAGTGGCCTTTCTGTGGGAATCCCAGGTCGGCTATGGCAAGCGTCCGTGGATGATTGAAAGTCAGCGCCATGGGAAGGGATGGGAGGGAGGGATCGGATGTCAGATGAGGCGCGAGCGCACCTAGCTTGCCCCTCTCCCCTCTCCCCTCGCCCTCATCCCTCTCCTCCTCCTCCTCCTCCTCCTCCTCGTCCTCCTCCTCCTCCTCGTCCTCCTCCTCCTCCTCCTCCTCCTCCTCCACCACCTCCCTCTCCAATAACCTCCAGGCTCCCCACCGGCCTTAAAAGCCTCAACGGATCTCCCTCTTCCTCCTCCTGATCCTTATCTCCCCTCCTTCTTCCCCCCTCCCTTTGGGGGACGATGATGGGGAGCACGGGTAGGACGAAGAGAGCAGGATGGAGGCATGCACGAGGAAACAGGACGGAGGAGGGCGCAAGGGAAAATGTGGAAGGAGGCAAAGGAGGAGAGAGCACGGCGAAAGAGAACACCGACCGCCCACGTCTGCAATGCATCACGCTCCCGCCCCCCTCCCACATCATGCGCGATTATGGCAACCCGCATTCGATGCCGGTGTCACATGCTGGTGGACTGCGATGCGTTTTGCTCGGATGGCATCCTGCACATCAGTATGAACCATTCCATAAGCAGAGGCTGGGCCCCGCCAGGCCTCCTGCTCGCAAAAGCAGCTCCGATGCCGCCACCTGGGCACTGAACTCATGACCTTCCTCCCCCCCCCGCGCTGTCTGTCTGTCGGCCTGCCAGTCTCTGGCCGCCTCCCTGTATGTCCGTCTTTCTGTGTGCCTGCCCGTGTGTCTGTCTAAATGTCTGCCTGCCTGCCTGTCTGCCTGTCTGCCTGCCTGTCTGCCTGCCTGTCTGCCTGCCTGCCTGTTTGCTTGTCTGTCTGCCTGCCTGCCTGTCTGTCTGTCTGCCTGCCTGTCTGCCTGCCTGTCTGTCTGCCTGTCTGCCTGTCTGCCTGTCTGTTTGTCTGTCTGTCTGTCTTCCTGTTTGTCTGTCTGTCTGTCTGTCTGTCCGTCTGTCTGTCTGTCTGTCTGTCTGTCTGTCTGCTTGTATTCCTGTCTGCCTGCCTGTCTGCCTGCCTGCCTGCCTGTCTGTCTGTCTTTCTGTCTGCCTATCTGCCTGTCTGCCTGTCTGTCTGTCTGTCTGTCTGTCTGTGTCTGTCTGTCTGCCTGTCTGTCTCTCTCACCCACTCACTGATTCTCTCAGTCTCTAACTCCCTCTCTTGAATTCCTCCTCCGATCCCTCCCTCCCTCTCACGCCTCACCCGCCCCACTCCCTCCTCTTGTACAGGCCTCCAGTGCCCTGCTGGGATCCCCACCCGTCGACGCACTAAGCACCAGCGGCCGACGACTGCGAGCCCAAAATTCTCACAGTGCCGCCTCCCCTGACGCGGACTGGGGAGGGGCAGCGACACTGAGAAGCGCGGCCCGCTTGAATCCCATTGGCTCTCTGGGGGCAGGTGCTTCAGCGAGCTCTCTCCTCCAGTCCCCATGCTGTCCCCTCTCCCTGCCCTCTCCCCCGGACCTCGCCGCACTCCCCGACATCCTGCGGCGCCCCACTGCAGAGACCCTGCAGAGGCCCCTGCAAACCTACCCTGTCAAGCGACCCTGCAGGCCATGCTCCTGCAAACTGCCCTGCACACCGACCCTACAGTACCCATGATGTGAAACTGCGGTGGGCATCCTTTGGCCTTGCCGTAGGCTCCTGGGCTTCTGGCCAAAGCGTGCTCCCTCAGCCTGCTCAGAGGCCGCCGTGGCAGTGCATCACTGCCGCCCAGCGCCATGTCTGAGCCTCAACCCCATGCGATGCGATGCGACCCACATTCCAACCCCTATCGGGCGGTCCTCTCATCGACTGGACGTAAGAGTGACCTTTCGCCGGAGTGACCTTTGGTGCGGGCACAAATGGGCCCCCAGATGGCCGACCGCGAAGCGGTAGCAGCGGCCAGCGCGCCTGGATTTGGCCTCCCCGCGGCCCCCAAAAAGCTGCGCACCAAAGGTCACTCTTACCCAGGGTCACTCTTACATGTGGCCGATCTCAGAAAACAGGCGTATGGGGACACGCAATCCCAGCAACCGGGCGCAACGGAAGATGCTTCATACAGCTGTGAAGAAGAGACGGTATCACAGAAAGAACTGCGTCCAGGCAGGCATGAAGCATACCCATGACCCTGCAACACATACCCTTTCGTGAGAAAACCCACTAAATAAGAACCCGCTCGTGCAAACGCGCCATCACTTGTCGCTGCAAATCACTAGCTGGCAGAGGTCTTTACATTCGGGCACCTGGTGCGCGAGTTGCCCTGCATCTTCAGCTGGGGCAGAGATTTGGGGAGATCAATGCGTATTCGTGTGAGAAAGACCGAGAGAGAGAGAGAGAGAGAGATAGAGAGGAGAGAGACAGTCGTGTCCATCTGCCCACCAGGGATGCTCCTAGGAAGAAGCCGATGCTCACACCTCTTCTGTGCTCGGGGCCCAGAGCAGCCTGGCGACTCCTCTGCCCGCCGAACCTCTCGCCCGGCAAGGTCGGCGAGCCCGAAGCCCGGAGCCCCTAAGGCTGGAGCCCCGAAGACCGGAGCCCCGAAGGCTGGAGCCCCGCGAAGGCCGGAGCCCCGAGGACTCGAGCCCCGAGGACTGGAGCCCCGACGACGTGGCCAAAGGCGAGCCCCCGAGGACTTCGGAGCCCCCCTCCCCCGTGGGGCCCAGGGCGGCCCCCGCGCCCGCGCCTTGGCCGCAGCGCGCCCGCGCGGGTGCCCTCCGCGGCCCCCTCCCCGTGCGGCGCGGGCCACGCCACGGGGGCCGCCACGGGGGGCGCACCGTCGGCGACTTAGAAGGCCCTGGAAACGACAGGGCCGGTTTTCTACCGGTTCCGTTTTGCCGTTTTTGTTGCCGGATCCGACGCCGTTCTTTTACGGGTTCCGTCGCCGTTTTCTGACCGGTTCTGGCTCCGGTTCCAACCCTGGAGCCGTCTTTTTGCCGTTTCCGGTCGCCGTTTTTTTGCCGTTTCCATTTTCAAGGGGCATTTTTTGGGAAACGGTGAAAAAACGGCCCTGCCGTTTCCGGGGCCCACAAAGGCCACGGGGAACCACACACAGAGCCACTGTCTTGCACTGTCTTCTCGGCATCGGTGCCGAAGCGTCGACGGTCGGCAAGGCATCGCTGCAGAAGAGTGTTCTGCTCGAACTCGCTGAGCGAGCAAGGGTACAGCCGAGGCTACAGAGTCTTGGCCGAGCAAAGAGCATCGTCGCCAGAGCGTGGGCGTTGCCACTTCCCCGGGGAACCACCCGCTGGGCCGACGCTGGAACAGCGAACCACGGAGTCCAGCCTCGGACGCGAAAGAAGCCTCCCGTTTCGCACGTGGCCTGGAGCCGAGCGCCACCTCCCGAGAACACTCGGCGCAGCGACCGGCGGGGACCACACGAGGGCCCAAAAACGACGAGCGAGGCGAGAGGGCCGCCGCAGAAGGCGCACAAAGGCGGAGGGACGACGCCCGCGCGGAAGCCGAAAAGCACACAAACATCATTGGCTGCTCGGATCGCCGCGCGGAGCTCTCGGATCGGCGTGGGGCGCCCGCCCCCCCCCCCCCGCGCGCGGTGGCGAATCGCCGGCGCCGCGGAGTCCAGCGCCGATGCAAGAGATCCGCGCGGACCTCCGAGAGAGAGTATACGTTTCGGCAACTCTCTCTTCGGAGGCCGGGCCAGGGCTGCATAAGTCCGTGGCTGCTCAAATCGACCTCCGGGAGGTTGTCTTCGCCCTTCCGGGAAGGAGCCCGTCGACTGTCTCGCGTGCCGCGCCTCCTTCCGGGAAACTGTGTTTTTTCCTGCCGGGAGGGCCGTTTTAGCAGCCACGGTTTTTCGGGGATGGACAGACCCCCCCTTCAGTAAAACGTGGTTTCGTGAAAACGACCTGAGGCCCAAACCTGGCGGGCGCAAGCCTGCAAAATATCGGCCACGGCGCCATCTCGAGAACCGAAAACGGACAATTCACTAATCGACGTGTCACTGTTGGAGGTCCTGTCCACCCCCGAGTTTTGGCAGCCCTCGCCCAGCTTCCCACCTCTGTTGCCCTGGGCCCAGGGGCGACGACCAAAGGCCCGGGCCTCGCGCGAGGTGGCACAGCAGGCCTGCGCGGTGGCCTGCGCTGGCCGCCAGTGCGGCGCACGCCGCACTGGAAGCAATTGGGCGCCTGCGCGTGGCCTTGCGCGCCGAGGCCGGCGCCGGCGCAGGCGGCCTTTCTTGTTCGAGGTCGCGCACGTGTCCTGAGGATCCTCGAGGGCCCCGCAAGTCAACAGAAGTACGGTTCCGGGGTCGTTGCCGTCCAAAACCCTAATATGAGGACGCGCGGCAAGGACGCAAGACCCCTGGAGGCCGAAGTCGGGGCTTTTGGGGGCGGCGGACGGCTAAAACCTCAGGGACGCAAGAGCAAGGAAGAGCGAGGAGGAGGAGGAGGAGGGTTTCTGACTGTGCCAGGGGGAAGGAACAAACACACTGTGGGGAAAACACACACCCACACACCTGTGGGGGAAAACACACACAAAACACACTGTGGGCAAAAAACACTGTGGGAAAAAGCACGGTGAGAAAAACACGCACACACACATACACTGTGGGAAAAAAACACACACAATGCTTTTTCCCACAGGGTGTGTTTTTTCCCACAGGGGGCGGGGCCCCGGACGCGCGGGCGGGCCGGGGCACGTCGGGGTGCGCTGTGCGCTGCGATCGCCACAGTGCGCGCGCGCGAGCACCGGCGCGTGCGCGGGGGGGGGGTTTCAGGCCCCCCCCCCGCGTACGATCGTTACCGTTTTTGTTTGTTTGTTTGTTTGTTTTTTTGTTTTTTGTTTTTTCCTCTCTTTTTGTTTAATATATATATATATACATATTATTTTTTATTGTTTATCTTTGTATCTCCTCTCCTCGGGAAGTCAAGTGTTTGCCAGGCCTCTTCCTCCGACTTGCGGCTTGCAGGCCGCAGGGGCGAACAGCGGCCGACGCGCCACTCGCCAGCAGGCAATGCTTCCGCGGACGAGAAGAAGAAGAAGGAAGTGAGATATCCTTACTCCAGCACCTGTACGATCGTTACCGTTTTTGGCCCGTGAAGCGCCCGCTGCGCGCCAGAGGATAGAAATAATCTCCAAGTCAACCCCGCTGTCAGTGTTAGGTCGGGCATGTCCCCCTACCGGCAGATTTTGGACGAAAAATGGGCGGAAAAAAAGTACCCCCCCAAATACTCAAAAAGGACCAAAAATAGTAGAAGAATCGTCCCCATACTATTTCTTGACTAGCTTTGAATGTTCCTCCTGTAGAGGGACAGGCCCGACTTCATGTCAGTGGAGCGGGCGAGGGCGATCACGGGCGACGGGGCACCGCAGGTCTGCTCCGCAACTCTGCGGCTGGGCGCCCTGTGCCGGCGCTGGGCGCCGGGCGGCAACACCTCCGCTGGGCAGCGGCCCGCGCAAACGAGGCAGGGGCAGCGGCACCAATACTTTTCACTCCTCGCGAAAGGTTTTCGATCCGCGGCCCCCAGGGCTCCCGACCGCTTCTCCAGGGGGTGGCTGTCCGCCCAGGACTGATGTTTTTGTGTTCCTGGGCCCCCCAAACGGCCCCCGAAGGCCGAGATCGAGGGACAAATATTCGGATTGAACACATCGCACCGTCGAGACCAGGACTTTCAGGTCACAACTC